CGGCGGTCACTCCGAGCCAGAGGTCGGTGTCTTTTTTATTCTAGATAAAAAAAAATAGTAAATTAGTTTTATTAGTTGAGAAGGGATGTTTATAGGGGTTGTAAATACCCTTATAGGGAAGTAGTTGACTCCGTACATGTCCAAATCTTGGGCGATTTTTAAATATTCCATTTCGGCTTCGTCTCGGGACATTCCGCGGTGGTCTGCGTACCTGAAAAATATTTATATAAATGATATATAGATAAATGAATTTGTAATAAAAAATGATTTTAATTCTTGAAAAATAACGAGTGCTCGCCATGTCGCCCGCACCTAACACGACGCTTTCCCATATATTTTTACTTAGGCTTGGATACGCATGGTAAGCGTTATCGACAATATTTTTAGTATAAATTTATTTGTAAGTACAAAGTTATTATATATTTATTTACTTTGTGTTTATATATAAAATTAAGAACTAGTGGCATTATTTCCTAATAACAATGATATTTTAAGTATTTAATTCATGATACTTATTTAACTAAAATATAACTGGCTTGTCAGTAGAAGTTGCTTAATTTCTAATCATTTTTCTTTGTTTGGAAGTTTGTTCCCCAGTAGAGTCCGTTTTGTTACTTCAAAATTTTTTCAAATGCTTACATTTTAATAAAAACTAATTTTCGTCAGTACAGTTCATTTTTTTTCAATACGTATGTTTTTGTATTTTTTTTTAATTTGACAATAAATTTAATATTGACCGAATTTGCTTGTCAATAAAGTTATTTTTTATTAATCATAAGGCACAACCAGAAAACTAAATAGCAATTTGAGATATTAAAAGGGACTCTACTGACGAGCAAATAGAAAAAACAATAAGAATGACACTCTGTCAGACTAGACAGGAAAAAAAGTACTCTACTGACGAGCAAACTAAAACAAGATAAACAGAAATATTCCTGTGGCACTTTAGCAAATCCAAAAAGATGGAAAAAGGACTCTACTGAACCAACTGACACAAAACAAATATAAGTGAACTCTACTGACGAGCGAACTAAAATAGAATGAGAAAGGCACTCTAGTGACATTTAGCAAACTAAAAAAGAAGCAAATGGAAATTTATTTGATATCAAACTAGTACAATAAGTAAAAAGAAATCTACTGTAACATACAATGAATATTAACAATGCCTAACAAACTATATAATGAAAAAGGAACTGTAATGTCGAGCAAATGGAGAAAAAAAGATCTTTATTGTTTTAAACTATTTACACATATCGTGAAACTCATTGCAACCTTGCTTTAACTCGAAATGGCGTTTTCACCTAGATAGTCTAAAGAAGTTTTACTTCAAAAAACTTATGTTGTCTCTTTTTTGACATGTGGGGTGTTGTTTGAAAGGTCTCGACGAGTGGAAAACGTTATTAAGGAGAAAAGGAACTCTACGGATGAGTAAACTAAACCAATATTATAAATACACTTTAAAGACTGGGCAAACAAATTAAACTAGGTACAAACGAACTAGCAAAATGACAAAATATGAAAAAGAAACTCTACTGATGAGCAAACTTAAAAATATTTTCATCAACTAACAAAAAAATTTAAGAGAACCTGAAAAAAGGGACTCTACTGACGAACAAATTAAATTATTTACACTTTTCAACAGAAGAGAATCGTATACAATAAATAATTGTTATATTATGTAAAAAGGGACTCTACTGACGAGCAAACTAAGAAATCTTTCCATCGAGTAACAAAATAGGTAGAAATGCCCAAAAAAAGGACTCTACTGACGAACAAATAAAACTGCATTTGAGATTTCAACAAAAAGGACTCTACTGACGAGCAACTAAACTAAATTTGAAATTTCAACAAAAGAACTCTACTGACGAGCAAATAAACTAAATTTGAAATTTCAACAAAATGGGACTCTACTGACGAGTAAACAAACTGAATTTGAGATTTCAACAAAAAGGGACTCTACTGACAAATACATACGATGATATCATCATCAAATTGAATGTATACTCTAGATTTTGGAGAAAAATTTCTAAAATTTGATTATCGAATATTTTACTTAAAGTAAGAAATTCAGAATTCTATTGCGATATTCAGAAATTAAATATATACAAAATTATCATCATTATCTATTAAATTCTCTTTTTGCATTTCTACGAATAATTTTTATAATAAATAGTGAAAAAAACATTTTTCAAATTTTGTGTATTTTGAAATTTAAATATCTAACTCCCCTGAAGTTTGTCCATCAGTGTCACGTGGTTAATGAAGTTTGACAGTTCACGTCCAACTGTCATGGAGGACGAAAAATAAGTTGATTTTGATACAAAATAAAGAAATTTGTATGAATTATTCGTTTTATATATAGTGCAGTGTTGTAATTGAAATATTGATTTGGTTTTGTGAAGTGACTAAGTCCAGATTTATTTATGTGTGTAGGTGACTGATAAGTACAAGATGCCATTTGTGTATTAAAGGAATTGTGATAAAATTATTAGAAAGTCACAAAATTTAGTGTAAGTTACTAAGTGTTTGCCTTAAGGTAAGTAGCATGAATAAGTTCACAATCAAATCATCGATTTAGCTATTTATTTAGATAATAATTCTAACAGTTAATTTGAAAGAAGAGTGTAACCATTACAATTAGTATATGAATATGTTATGAAAATCTTGATGAAATTATACAAAAGATAGAATATTTCTCCTATAGTTTCCAACTTAAGGTATAATGTCAATTATACATAGTTTTAGTTATTGTTACATCAATGTAGGTGTTTGTTTTTGTATTAGATATTATCATGGTTCTCCAATGTAAGATATATCCTAATCGAGATGATTTGTGTCAAATATTTACATATTACATTTTCTAATTGAGAATTCTTGACAATGAAATGTACATTGTTTCGAACACATATAACACTTTTTTATTACTTTTATTTTTATTTGAAGCTCAACATAACAAATATATATATATATATAGAATATTTACCATATCCTTATCCTATCCTCCCACATCTCGGGTGTCATCTGATATTGATCGATAACCCTTTGAGGTAACAGATCCCCACTAGAGAGCATTCCTGGTTTGTTCGATATACTTTCATCGTAATCACCATACTAGAAAAAAAAAAATCATTCATATATTAAACATCGTTTGTCATATTTTAATTTTATTATTATTTATCCTTTCTTTTATATCTAATACATTTAAATAATTTAATATAAGTGTCATAAATGAATAATTAATGGATTATGTTTTTAATATACTGTTAAATATAGTATATTATAGCGAAAAATATGTTATTGTAGCTTAAAATTCATTAAAATTTTGAGAATTAATATATAAATCATAAAATTATTTAATATTTATATTTAATTTAATTATTTCATATTTATATTGCTAAACATGTAATATTCAATACAAATTCAAATTTAAATCTCAACGGTTAAAATAGAGTTGACAGTACCAACCCGCGCCCAACTTCACACTGTTGAGTACTTTGTTCAAATTTAAATGCAGTAATTTCGTTAATGAAACAATTAGTATTAAAGAATATTTATTTTGTGCGTTCCGATACTAAATGTGTGTCATCATACAGTATTCGAGAATCCTACTTGATTTGTAAAATATATAAAAAATAAAAGTTGAAACATTTTTATTGATATTATGATCAAACTGAATAATTAAATGAAAGGACTCTACTGACGAGCAAATTATTTAGATTATATTGATGTGAAAACGACTCAACTAATGAGAAAAAAGACTCTACTGACGAGCAAACTGAAACTAGAAATTAATAAGAGAACTCTACAACTCTACGACGAGGAAACTAAATATGGATTTTTAAGGACTCTACTGACAAGCAAACTGAATGAATTGAAAAATATCAGAAATAACCAACAAGCAAATTAAATATATTTGTATAAAATAAAAAAGGGAGACTCTACTGACAGGCAAAAACATTCAAGCTGAGAAAAGGACTCAATTGTATTTTGCAATTTGCAAAAAAAGGACTCTACTGACAAGCAAACTTAAAACAATAGATCTTGAGAATCTTAAAAGGTAACTCTACTGACGAGCAAATTAAAAAACAATCTTCAGAAACTTAAAAAAAGGACTCTACTGATGAGCAAATGAATAACAATAGATCTTGAGAAACTTAAAGAAGGGACTCTACTAATTTTAATCTAAGAGACAACAAATGAACTGACGTGCAAACTATTTATCTGTCTTTAGATGGAAAAAAATGGACTCTACTGACGAGCAAGTAACAAAACAATTTTGAAACTTAAAAAAGGAACTCTACTGATAAGCAAATCTAAAAAAGAATTTGGAAATTTAAAAAAAAACTCTACTGACGAGCAAATTAATTATCAGACTCAAAACTTAAAAAAAGAACTCTACTAACAAGCAAATAACAAAACAGATTTGAAATTTAAAAAAGGACTCTACTGACGAGCAAATTAATAACAATAGATCTTGAGAAACTTAAAGAAGGGACTCTATTGACGACCAAACTTAATTGTGATCTAGGAGGCAACAAAGGAACTCTACTGACAAACAAAATGTTTATCTTTCTTTAAGAGAAAAGAAGGGACTCTACTGACGAGCAAACTTATTTATCTGTCTTTAAGAAATAAAAAAGGGACTCTACTGACGAGCAAATTAATAACAATAGATCTTGAAACTTGAAAAATGGGACTCTACTGACGAACAAAATATTTATCTTTCTTTAAGAGAAAAAAGGGACTCTACTGACGAGCAATTTATTTCTATATCTTTAAGATTTAGAAAAAGGACTATACTGATGAGCAAACTTAATTTTGATCTAGATGATCAAATATCTTTTGGAGATGAAAAAGGGACTCTACTGACGAGCAAACTACTTTTTTCTTTAAGAGATAAGAAAGGAACTCTACTGACGGACAAATTAGTAATCGATATCGAGAAAAAAATGGAGACTCTACTGACAAGCAAATTAGTAATCAATTTTGAGAATCTTGAAAAAGGAACTCTACCGACAAGCAAATTATTTACTTTCAGAATAAAAAAGTGACTCAACTGGCGAGCAAATTAATACCCGATTTTTTAAGTTAAAAAAATCTTTGCAAACTCGACATACAAAATAAATAGCAAAAAGAACAATACTATCAAGCAACCTATGTAAATATTAACTAAACGATATACTAAAAACTTATAAAAAGAACTCTACTGACGACCAAACTGAATATTAATATAAAAGTTAAAAAAAAAACTGAAGAGTAAATTAAATAATAATCTATCTAGAAGATAAGGACTCTACTGACGACTTTAGAGTTCCAATTTTTTTTTTATTGATTTGTAATAAAAAACTACATTATTGTAATTATAATAATTCTTAAAATAATTTAATATTAGCATTTGCATTTAATTTTAATATTGTAAATTCAAATTCAAATGTCAACGGTTAAAAAATAATTGACAGTACCACTCGCGGCTAACTTTACACCGTTGAGTACATTGTTCAAATTTAAATACAGTAATTTTAACATTCGAGCTTTAGAATCATTTTGAGGTATTGCAATAAAAAAGAACTATACTGACGAGTAAACGGAGCTTTTCACGACTCAAACGCGAAATTAGCAAAAGATTTTACAATTTTCTTTTTATTAAAAATATATTCTGTTTAATATATATTAAAGACAATATTTGTTTTGAAATTTAGAAAAATTATAAAAAAGGACTCTACTGAAGAGCAAATTGAACTTTCCATGACATGAAATAGAAATTAGCTTAATATTACAATGAAAAAGAACTCTACTGACCAGCAAACTAAAGTAATGGTACATATATAAATTATCTACCTAAATTCAAATAAAAAGGGACTCTACTGACGAGCAAATGTAATAAACAGAATTAATTAAGTAAAAAAAGAAGTCTAGCACTGAGTAACTTTTAAAAACAAATTAAAAACAGTAAAGACTTTTTAAGGAACTCTACTGATATATACATACTGATATAAACAATATATATATATATATATTGAATGGTAGAGTCTTGGATTTGTGTATATTTTGTAGAGTTTCGAACAAGAATCCAAAAATAATACAAAATAAAAAACAAGAAAAGTTTTTAAAAAAACAATTTCTTTATTTAATTATTTGTTTATTGTTTATTGTCGACAATAAACAAATAATTAAATAAAGAAATTGTTTTTTTAAAAACTTTTCTTGTTTTTTATTTTGTATTATTTTTGGATTTTTGTCGAAACTCTACAAAATATATAAAACTCTACAAAATATATATATATATATATATATATTTATATATATATTTATATATATTTAAACTTTAAAAAAGAACTCTACTGGCAACCAACATAAATTTTCTCTACGAAAAAAATATACAACTAAATTTCTATTATCTAAATGCAAATTCAAAACCCAACCGCCAAACAAGAGGTTGACAGTACCAACCCGCGCCCAACTTCACACGTTAAGTACATTGTTCAAATTTAAATACAGTAATTTCACCATCTACTATATAAGTCATCTTACCTTCGCTTGTACCGCATAAGAAGCCAACAAGACACTAGCCTCCGGCGGACAATAAATGTCCATCGACAAAATGGCCTGTTTCACTTGCAAAAAGAATAAATGTTGGGTCACCTCCTGCACCAATTCTTCTGCGACATCTTCTGCACAGAATTTGGCCAAAAACATGAAGACGCAGCCTCCATTTGAACCAGCAGGCGAGGATAGTGATTGGTCTTGGACTGGGAAAATATAAGAGAAAGGGTGAAGAGGGTAAAGAAGTTTTACTTCACAAAAATTTTAGGGGGTGATTTGTATGGCTTGTTGGGTGTCGTTTGAAAGGTCTCGACGAGTAGAAGACGATTTTCACAAAAAAAACTGATTTTTATAATAATATTTTATAAAATATAATTAAAAAAAAAAAATTAATTTTATAATTAAAAAAAGGACTCTACTATCGAGCAAATTTCAATTATCTAAAATATTTAAAAAAAAGAGGCTCTACTGACGAGAAAACTCGATTTTTATTTAGAATATCTAAAAAGAGACTCTACTGACGAGCAAACTCGATTTTGATCTAAAATATAAAATAAGATTTTGATCTAGAATATTAATAAAAGAGATTCACTGACGAGCAAACTAAGATTTTTATCTAGAATATCTAAAAAGGGACTCTACTGACGAGCAAACTCGATTTTGATCTAGAATATTAAAAAAAGAGACTCTACTAACGAGCAAACTAGATTTTTATCTAAAACATTCAAAAAAAGGACTCTACTAATGAGCAAATTTAATTTTTGTCTGGAATATTAAAAAAAAAGGACACTACTGACGAGCAAACTTTAATTTTGATCTAGAATATATAAAAAAAGGACTCTACTAATGAGCAAATTTCAATTATTATCTAGAATATTTAAAAAAAAGAGACTCTATTGATACAAAGACAAAAATACTAGTCTGTTTTTAATTTTTTTTTGAGAATGTGAAGCTTTCGTAGCGAATAATAACATTAACTACGTGATTTGCCCACAGTATATACACTTTTAACGAATTTGTAGAAGGCGAGCTTAAAGAAGTTTTACTTCAAAAAATTTGAGATTGTATTTTATGGCATGTGGGGTATCGTTTGAAAGGTCTCGACGAGTAGAAAACATGTTTCGTGAAAAAATATTATTGTATTTAATATATAATAAATATGTAATACAAAAAATGTTAGAATGTTGAAATTTATTAATTTTTTTTAAATGTGTGAAGTGTAAAGCTTCCTTAGCAAAATCTAACATTTATTATGCGATTTTTTAATAAAATATGCCATTTTTATCAATTTGTAGTGAACGAGTCTAAAGAAGTTTTTCTTAAAAAAGTGTAGTTTGTGGTTTTGTGGCATGTGGGGTATCGTTTGAAAGGTCTCGACGAGTAGAAATGAATTATATGAGTAGAAAATGATTTTTATAAAAAAATGAGTATATTATAACAAAACATTATATATATATTATAATAATTTTATCGAAAACAAGACTAGAATGTTGTTTTTTAAAAAAATTGAGAGTTGGAGAACTTTTACAGCGTTTTCTAAAATTTACTATGTAATTTATCCAAAAATATACACTTTTAATTAATTTGTACTAAACGAGTCTGAAGAAGTTTTACTTCAAAAAAAATAAGAATCTGATTTTGTGGCATGTGGGGTATCATTTGAAAGGTCTTTTTAAATACAATCCGAATAATGGAATAAAAATCCAAAATATCCCATTTTTTATACAAAATAAAATTGAAAATCTATTTTAAAGGTAATCGAGTTCTTTTGTTTTTATTTTTAGAACATTTATTCATAATTAACTCGACTATTTTGATGAAATTTTACAGTACGATGTAGTTTATACTGTGCAAATATTATAGTCCTGCAAAAAATGGTCTAATTAAATAATCACTACGCCTTTGGACAAACACAGTGTATTCCCAAAGCCTTATAATAATATATAAGCACTTTTTATGAATTTTTATTAAAGAGCCTAAAGAAGTTTTACTTCAAAAAAATTAGATTGTTTCTTTTATAGCATGTGGGGTATCATTTGAAAGGTCTTTTCGAATACGATCAGAATACCAGAATAAAATTCCAAAGATCTCACTTTTTGTACAAAAAAAAATTAAAAAGTGTTAAAAAGTAATCTATTAGTAATCGTGCTCCTATGTTTTTGGTAAAATTCAGTCAGGACATTTGTTCATAATTAATTGGACTATTTTGGAGGTGATTTGATGCTGACTAGCATATTAAAATATTACAGTCCTACGAGAAATGTGGTTTTTATTATAAAAATTCATGGGACGAGCCCTAAGGACATGTAGTAATGTTACATAAGTTATAACATATGTCCTAAGCGAGTTGTTTTACTAAAATATATACACTTTTTTGAATTTTTATTAAATGAGTCTAAAGAAGTTTTACTTCAAAAAATTTAGAGTCTGATTTTATAGCATGTGGGGTGTCGTTTGAAAGGTCTTTTCAACTAGAATTCAAAATGAAAAATGAATTTACAAAAATCACATCTTAAAATATTATAATTATCATTAAAATTAATAATTAATATTAAAATAGTATAAAAATTGTTGTAAATAGTATAAATATTGTGTATTTTATAAAAATTCTTTGGCCGTCTTTTCGAATACAATACAAATACTGAAACATAATTCCAGAAAACTCATTATTTGTACTAAAAAAAATTTAAAAGTGTTCAAAACAAATTGATAGTACTACGAGAAACGATGTTTAGTTATAAAAATGTATGGGCAGAACCCTTATATAAATATATATATATATATATATATATATATATATTAAATATCCAAACCTTTTTTATCCAGCTTCAACCAAGATATGAAGCCCTTGGAGTCCTCATACTGCAAACCAAAGTACCAGGTCTCTCGTAAACCAATCGTCCGGCAAACTAATTCGAATAAATCTTTGCCTGTCGCTTTCCACTGAAATTCAGAACAACAAAAATATTAGAATGAAGTCTTCGAGTGATTTACAATGGTATATTAATACACGGTAAGTGTAAATAAATATAGATAATATATATGGGAAAAGATTTTCTTTCTACTAACCTCCAAATTAAATTCTAACTCAGCGTCCAAAGTGCAAACTTTAACTGGAAAAGACTTTCCAGATTTTTTACGTCTAAACGGGGGCATTTTGTATATCATATTATAAATACAATAGGCACTTGGGTAAAAGAATTTTTTGTTATTGTCATCATTGAGACATTTTTTATTAAGTTGTATCTAACACTTGCAAATTAAAACTTCAACAGCAGCCTCCAAGACATGTTTTTATACACAAAATCAAAATATATTATTATTATTATTAGGTAAACATTTATCACCTTAACGTTGTTTGAAGTTTACTAAACATTTTCTTTGCGTAAAGAGGTTAACATAAAAGAAAATAGTCACTCATGATTTGTTTTGGAATTATTAAGCGTTAGCGTTGAAAATATTATTTTATATTGTTTCAGACATTAAGTTTGTTTATATATTTCTCTTTTTGCAAAATATTTCGTTAAAAAAGCTTGTTTTTTTATCGCGCAGCAAATGTCAAATGACGTACGAGTCAAAACTGTCAAGTGACCAACTGTCATGGCGGACGAGGCGCGAAATACGAATTGTAAAGTAATAAAAGATTGATATAACTATGTGTATGGTGCATTTAATAATATTTTATGTATATAATATTATAGTTATTGATAAAATGTAAATATTATATTGTAAATTCAAATTCAAATGTCAAAAAAGAGTTGACAGTACCGACCCGTGTACAACTTCATGTCGTTGGGTATTTTGTTCAAAATTGAATGCAGTAATTTCAAGACATTTTATATACTAATTATGATAAGTTGTTTTGATGCATTTCATATGTATGTAAGTTAGTATGTTTATAGCAATAGTATTATATATTGTTAGAAAGGTAATAAAATTATCTACAAATCTGTATATAAAGTTTAATAACTTTTCAGACAAAATTTACTAAGTAAAATATGTAAAGTTTAAAATTCTGTCAGCCATTGGTTATATTTTTTATATTTACCATTATTGTAATAAAATTCATCTTTATGGCTATTTATTGTGATATATCATTGGAAAGTAGATAAAATTATCTATAAAGTTAAAATAAAATTATTATAAATTTTGTTCCACAATTTGTAAATGTTGGAACAAAATTTTGCAAAAATAATTCATTAAACTTTGAAATTAAAATCTTAAGGCGTCCATATTGTTTTAGCTTTAACGCTTTTGTTCATATTTATATTTATTTCGTTTAAATTTAATTAAATATATTAACATTATTATATATTGTTAGAAAGCTGATTAAATTGTCTATAATTAGGTGTATAAAAGTTTGAAACTCTTGTAATAAAATTTTTGAAAAAAATGGTTGAAGTTTGAATTTGCAAAACTTGAAATTTGAAACTGAGACGTTGGTGCTTCATTTTTTCAAATATCTTTAATATAGCTTTTTTATTCCAAACTTCAACACATTTTTATAATTAAACTACTTTTCCTAGGCTTAATATGTTACAAAAAAACGACTCAGCCGATTCTTACCTAAATTATATACATTTCAATCAAATTTAAATTTACAAATTCGTTTCAGGATATTTGGCCATCACGTTGTCCTTATATTTTACACTTCTTTGCTAATTATAAAGAAACGACTTGGCCTATCCTTTTGCAAAATTCATAAACCCTAGTCCTCGTGTTACATCAAATTGCTTTTAAATTTTTAAAATCGGTTCAGCCGTTTTTGAGAAAACGTCAACGAAAGCTCAAATTTTGTCACACCCATACTTTTTCCAGTCTGTCAAACGATTCAGAATAACTTAAAACGTTCAAGAAAAGACATAAAATTAGGAAAATGGACTTTATTGTCCTTCGGGAAGTCAATAATTTGTCATCATTAATATTATAGTTAATAATAAAACACAAATATTACATTGTAAATTCAAATTTAAATCACAACCGTCAAAAAAAATTGACAGTACCAAACTGCAGACAACTTCATTGTGTTTGGGTACATTGTTCAAAATTACATGCAGTAATTCAGTAATTATTTTATTAGGAATAACACTCACTGAGGATCAGAAACATGGACAATATGAAAAGCAACGTTGAATTAGGACAGAAAAAATGGAGATTCTACTTATAGAAACCTTGAAGATGAAAAAGTGACAAAATTTTCGAAGAATGACTCTGTACGGATTAGAAGTATGGACTCTCTCAGAAATGCTTTTGACGAACATGAAATTTTGTCATTTGAAACTGTATATAATTTTATAAATTCTAGTTAAAAGTATTCTATATAAAATATTCAACAGATAATTATTATTAGTCTGTGATGTATTAAATTAATTAAAATTATTAAATCATTTTTTTGTTATATATGATATAGATGATTCTGTATAAGTTGACAATTAGATATAAATTTGATGTAAATAAATATTTTTTATATGTTTTTAGTAATTTAGAATCACTTGAACACCATAATCGGGTAATATTAAGAGAAACTAGACCTGCAGAGCAGTTTTTTTGATTGAATGAAATATTTTCAAATTATTATAAAAAAAATATTATTATATAAATATATATTATATAAAGTACAGAAACGTTAAAATAAGAAAAGGACACTATTGACGAGCAAATTAAAATATGAGCAAATATCTTGATAGAAGATCGAAATGAACTCTACTGACTACCATTTTTCTTGATTTTTTCTCAGTAGAATCCTTCTTTGCCTTAACATTTTTTCAAACATTAAAAGGACACTACTAATGAGATATTTGAATATCTGGATTGAAAAACACTCTATTGACCACCAATTTTCTTGATTTCTCTTAAAGTTTTAATTTGCTCGTCAGTAGAGTCCTTTTTTGTCTTAACATTTTTTAAACAATTTTTTTACTTTTTTGCGCATTTTTGATTTGCTCGTCAGTAGAGTCCCTTTTAGTCTTAACATTTTTCAAACATTTTTTATTTCTGTTTTGGGCATTTTTTATTTGCTCGTCAGTAGAGTCCCTTTCCACTAAATTTTCTGAACTGAATATTTTCCTCTATAATCCAAATAATATTAATATTTGATCGTCTGTAGAGTTCTTTTTTGCTTCAATATTTTTTAAAATAAAGTTTTAATAAATTAAAATTTGCTTAAATGAAAACCGATTTTGCATTTGTTCGTTAGTAGATTCTCTTCTCACTAAATTTTCTAAACTGAATATTTTTTTCTATAATAGTTTCCAAATAATATTTATATTTGCTCGTCAGTAGAGTCCCTTTTTTGTCTCAACTTTTTATTAATATAAAAATCTTCTAAGTTTAATTTTGTCATCAGTAGAGTCCCTTCTTTTAATAATTACTAATATTTTTAAAATAAGTTTAATCGTTTTTTCTTAACATATTTTAATTTTTTTTTAATGTTTTGCTTGTCAGTAGAGTCCCTTTTTGTCTTAAAAATTCATTAATATAAAAATCTTCTAATAATAAGTTTAATTTGGTTGTCAGTAGAGTCCCTTTTTTTATTATAACAAATATTTTTAAAATCAGTTTACTAGTTTCGTTGGAAAACACAAACACACACACATTATTTTTCCAAATTTGATCTCACGATTCAGAATAACTTAAAACGTCCAGAAAACATAAAATTAATAAATCATTTAGTAATTTAAAAGAGGAACTCTACTGACGAGCAAATTAGACGTATTGCAAAAAGCAGATCATTTTCTATTTGTAAACGCTAACATTATTATTAATATTATTAATATTATTATTATTATTATCTTACTATTTCTATTACTGTTATTTTGTTATATTTTATTGTTTTTCTAGTATTATTTTATTATTCAGAAATTTTATTTATATTATTTATTAATTTTATTTTTATTATTATTTGCTTTTATTTTATATTAAATCATCATATTACGGATATTATTTTCATGTAAATTCTATCCTTTGCACTCTTATTTATTTAAATTTATGTTATTATTTATCAATATTGTTAGATGTTAATTATTTAACAGTTGTAATAATTATTGAATTTTTTTTTTAAAAAAAAATGTCAAGTTTAAAATATTTTTGAAAAATGAAAGATAATTTGAATTACGTTGAATGAATATGGCACTCAAATATTAAAATTTAGATACTCAATTTTCTTGTTTGTAGAGTGAATTCAATTCACAAATAAATACTATTAGAAATTTATTTTGCTCGTCAGTAGAGTTCTTTTTTATATTCTAACATTCCTTGACAGTATAATTATATAACTTATCAATATGGTCATTTTTTATTTAATTTCTACATTCAAATTGCTCGTCAGTAAAGTCCATTTTTATTTTAACATTTTTTAAACTATTTACTTTAATATTTTGCACAATTTTTATTTCCTTGTCAGTGGAGTTCCTTTTTGCCTTAATAAGAAAAATTAAGTTTAATTTGGTCGTCAGTAGAGTCCTTTTTTAATAATTACCATATTTTTAAAATAAAGATAATCGTTATTGCTTATCATTTTTTAAAAGTTATTTTAATGTTTTGCTCGTCAGTAGAGTCCCTTTTTGCCTTAAAAATTTATTAATATAAAAATCTTCTAAGATTAATTTGGTCGTCAGTGGAATCCCTTTTTTGAATAATTACTCATATTTTTAAATTAAGTTTAATCGTTTTTGAGAAAACACAAACACACACCCATCTTTTTTCCAAATGATGTACGTTTCGACATTCTATGTGTGTCATCATTAAGCAAATTCAAACCGAGAAAAAAGCAACACATAAATTTCAGACGATTTTTTAATGAAAAACGAAACAATTGAATATATTTGAAATTTTTTATTTTAACTTGCTCGTCAGGGACTCTACCCTTTCTTAGTTTTTTTTTATAATATTTGTTCTTGATTTTATTAATTTCAAATTTAATTCGCTTGTCAATAGAATTCCTTTTTGCATTTTTTAAAAGAATTTTTCTCGTCAGATTTTTTTATATTATTTGTTAATTTTCTTAATTTCAAGTTTAAGTTTAATTTGCTCGTCAGTAGAGTCCTTTTGTACATTATTGTTTTTTTAAATGATTTTTATAAATTTAATTTGCTTTTCAGTATAGTCCCTTTCTTTCTTAATTTTTATTAAAACATTTTTCTTTGAATTAATTAGTCAATTTAGATTTGCTCGTCAGTAGAGTCATTTTTCCATGTAGTTTCATTTTTAATTTTGACATTTTTTCAAATTCAATCTGTTCGTCAGTAGAATTCTTTTTTTTCAATATTTGTTTCTAATTTTCTTGATTTTTCTTTAAGTTTGATTCTAATTTGCTCGTCAGTAGAGTCCCTTTTTCTTAATTTTTATTAATATTTTTTTTGGTATGATGTTGAAATTTGATTTGTCCATCAGTAGAGTTTGATTTCCACGATTTAGAATAACTTGAAACGTCAAAAAAACATAAAATTAGTAAATCGTTTATTATTATTAGAAAAGGGACTCTACTGACAAGCAAATTAGACGTATTGCAAATATCAAATCATTTTATAACAATACAAAATATTCAAATATGTCAATAAAATTATTTTATATAAATTTTTTTTTATTTTATTTTCATTCTGCAATCTATAAAAAATAATTATATATAGCAGAAAATGCTAGTGTTTACAATTGATTGTTTACAAATTTTATATAAAATAAATAAATAAATTATCCAAAAACAATCGAACAACCTCTCAAATCCCAAAACCAACCTGTCACTAACCCCATTCGCATTTGTTTCAAAATTCGAACCCTCACATCAAAAACCAATTACAAATTCAAATCTCGCGCCCATTACAAAATTCGAATCTCGCGCGCATCGCCTCTTTCACTCACCGGCGCTTGTGTCGCGTCGGCCATCTAAATCTCGTCTTGTGCGCAACTCGTTCGTGGATGACGTCACAGTGTCGGCGGCGCATGAGCACATCGATTCGCGGCGGAACTATTTTTAGCATTAGCCATTTTGTAATCGTGTGTTCTTGTGTGTTCGTTGTAAGTTTTAGTGTCTAAGAAGAATCGAAAAACATCCACGATGTCCGAACGAGAGGATAATGTTTATAAAGCTAAACTTGCTGAGCAGGCGGAACGCTACGATGGTATGTAGATAGTTTTTTAGTAAAACTTATGTGCAATGGCGGCTTGGGGAACGAAATTGGTAAAGGACACATAAACCTACACGTACTTAATACATCGAGTATTTATACCCGCAAACGTTTGTGCAAGTACTTTGTAACAACCCTTCACACCTACAAACACTACATTTATAATAATTATCATCAATTTATTACCTTTTACAATGGCACCCTTCGTAAGGCTTGGTCCGATCGATGCGTCATTGTCCCGGCTAGCACATAAAGTATTTGCACAACTTTTTTTATACACACACGAAACACCGGTTAGTTTTAAATACATTTTAGTGCGTTTATATTAATTGCAAAACGCGTGCACACTTTTTTATGCAATTACAAAGGCTCCGCCGACACAATTTGTGTGCGGTATCAGATTTCTTGCAACTGTCAAAGGTGTAAACGCTAATCACCAAAGCAAATTTAATAGAAATACGATATAATAAGTAATCAGTAACAATAGTTTAAATGTAAATCAATATCAATTCGTTTAGATAATACTTTAGGGCTTCTGTGTGCCCCCTTGGATACAAACACTTACACAATTACTTTGCATTTATACATTTAACTATACTTATTTCTTGCTAATTTTATTCTCATTACATTTTACCCCGTGTACAACTTCACCTTACATTTTAGCCCAAACAAAATTTCGCCTAAATTAGTCTAATTTAGTCTAATTTTTTTCAAAATTTTGGCCAAATTTAATTTCTAATTATAATTAAGGGTTTTCAAGAGTGCTTTAGTATTAAATAAAAGTGTTTTTTCTAATTTTGAGTAGGTTTTTGAGTCATATGTCGGTTTTTTTGATGTAGGCGTTTGCTTTCGCCGTGTACAAGCCAGTTGAGAGGCTTGAAGTTGGTTTTAATCATTTCTTACGGATTAGTGTTGGAGGCGGTGTAAAAGTTTACTCAAAATTTAAAATGATGTATGTTTTTGTTATATATGTACATATAATGCATAGATTTTCAGATGGTGAAAGATATATAATAATGAAGTTTTTTAAAAGATCAGCAATTCAATTTTTTGTATTTATTTGGGGTGTAAGATTTTACTAAAAATTTTAAAATGATATATAATTTTGTTATATATGTACATATAAGGCATAGATTTTCAGATGTTGAAAGATATATAATGATTAGGTTTTTTACATGATCCAAATTTTTGCATTTATTTATTTGCTGTGTACTCAAAATTTATAGTAATAATTTTAAAAATATTTTTGTTATATATGTACATATAATGTGTATATATGTGTTTTCTTGACAAGGGCCTGAAATAATATCTATTATTGATTACGGCTTGCTTATGAATAAATAAAATAAATAAAAAGTTATGTTAGATTTTCAGGTGAAAGATTTATAACAGGTTTTTTATATTATCAACCTTTGAAATTTTTCCTTCTATTTATTAAGGTGTGAGATTTTACTCAAAATTTAAAATGATAATTTTAAAAATATGTATATGTGTATGTATTGTTGTGTTAGGATTTTCAGATGGCGGAAGATATATAATAGGTTTTTTTAAATGATCAGGCTTTCAAATTTTTGCATTTATTTATTAATGTGTAAGATTTTACTCCAAATTTAAAATGAGAAATTTAAAAAAATATTTTTATGTATATGTATGTGTTATGCTAGATTTTCAGATAACGGAAGATATATAATATTAATTTTTTTACCTGATCAACTATTCAAATTTTTGCATTTATTTATTAAGGTGTAAAATTTAAAATGACAAATTTAAAAATATTTGTACATACATTATAATATGTATATGTATGTTTTGCATAATTTCGATTTGCTCGTCAGTAGAGTCCTTTTTATCAACATTGTTTAATTTTTAATTTTGTTATTTTTCTAATATAATTTGTTGATCAGTAGAGTTCTTTTTTATAATATTGATTCTTTCTTAAGTTTGAATTTAATTTGCTCGTCAGTATAGTCCCTTTTTGCCTTATTGGTTTTCTTTAAACAATTTCAAATAAATTTAACTTGCTTCTCACTAGAGTCCCTTTTTGTCTTAATCTTTTTTAAAACATTTTTCTGTGAATTAATCAGTCAATTTTGAATTTCTTGTCAGTATAGTGCCTTTTCCCACATCGTTTTATTTTTAATTTGTTCATTTTCCTAATTCAATTTGTTTTTCAGTACAGTTCTTTTGTATAATATTTATATTTCTTAATTTCAAGTTAAAGTTTAATTTGCTCGTCAGTAGAGTCCTTTTTTACCTTATTGTTTTTTTTAATGATTTTCATAAATTTAATTTGCTCCTTTCCTTAATAATTTTTTCTAAATTAAATGTATTGCAGAATCTTAATTTGCTCGTCATTAGTCTTTTTGCTTCAGCATTTTTTTATTAAATTTTCTAAACTAACTTGCTTCTCAGTAGAGACCTTTTTCTTAATACTAGCTTTTTCAAAAATACTTAGCAATGTTTTGCAAAATTTTGTCATTTTTTCTAACTCAATTTGTTTTTCAGTAGAGTTCTTTTTTCTAATTCTTAATTTCTTAAATTTGAGTCTAATTTGCTTGTTATAAAATAATTTTTATAATTTTGCTCGTCAGCAGAGTTAATATTTATATTTGTTAATTTTCTTAATTTCAATTTTGAGTCCAATTTGCTCGTCAGTAGAGTCCTTTTTACCACATCGTTTCATTTTTATTTTGACATTTTTTTCGAATTCAATTTGTTTTTCAGTAGTTCTTTTTTTCAATATTTGTTCTTAATTTTCCTAATTTCTCAAGTTTGAATCTAATTTGCTCGTCAGTAAAGTCCCTTTTTGTTTTAACATTTCCTTAATATTAAGTTCATTTTGGTCATTAATAATAATAATAAATAATTATTATTTTGTTATTGATTTGTGTTTTTTTTTAAATATTACATTAATAATTTTTTAATTTTATAATATATATTTCATATTTTATTTTGTTCTTAAAATATTATTTTTTTTAAATTTTTTTTTAACATATAAGTGAAGCAAATTGATACACGAAACGTATTAAAATTATATATAAGATATATATTATATTAATTCTTATTTTCAAATCCACCTTACATAAGTTATTTTCAAAATTATTTCGATTTTTGTTTATAATTTTTTTATATATTTTCTTAATTTATATTATAATTGCCAACGTTAACGGACGTGGTTTATTTTTTATTGCAATTTAACTACAAATAGCACTTTTGTACACTTTTGTTTGCTCGTCAGTAGAATTCATTGTTGTTTTCTTTGAACGACTTTTTTTATTACATTTTAATTTCAAAATTTGACATGATTTTACTCGGTTTGGTCGATAGTAGAGTTCTTTATTTGTTTTCTATAACATGTTCGATATTTCTAGCACAATTTATTTTTTTTTAATAAATTTACTATATTCCATAAAAATGTACTTGTTTATCCTCTAAATATAAATAATTTACTCGCCAGTAGAGTCCCCTTATCTTAAAAAAAAAACTAGATAAATAATTAGTTTGTCAATAGAGTCCCTTTTTCTATCTCCTAAACATATTTACCCATATAAATCAAAATTAAATTCGTTTGTCAGTAAAGTTCTTTTACCATCTTCTAGATACATATTAAGTTTGCTCGTCAGTAGAGTCCTTTTTTTTAACCACTAAAAAATTGCATAAAATTTGTTTAGGCAAAATTTATTTAAGAACTGCTGAATGAACACAGTAGTATTGCATTTGAAACGTTTTTTTGAAAATATTTATTTCAAGTAGTCATTGTCTTCTAAGATTAAATTTCAACATATATCAGTTACATTGTATTAAATTTTCTATGCAACTTATAGTACCACTGAAGATGACCTAGAATCAAGGGTCGAAACGTACGGGAATGATATTTTTATAGAATATAAAAAAAATGTAATAATAATGTTAACATTTTTAACATATATCAACATTTCAGTACAAATTATAGGCAAATTGATATAAGAAATACGATCCTTCGCAAATTCTTTTGTAGAAAATTTCTTTATTCATAACCTAATGTTAGTATAATTGTGTTTATATTACATAGTGTATTGAATTACTCATTCCATGGATTATCATTTTTGTTTTGTTTTTAACACTGAGACTAGCACATTGCAAGTACTTTTTACTCTTCATAATTTTTCAAATTCAATTGTTTTGGATTTTGAGTTTTATTTTTAGTTTCGAATGAAGGCTAGGATTATAGCCGAAACGTATGACTGTAAAATAAAACATATTTCTTAAAAGAAATTTATGGCTTTTTTTATTGATGATATGTCCGATTATTAAACTTTGTTTATATACAAATTCAGAATTAAAAAATATTTAATAAAAAAAATACGTTTTGGCGCTAAACGGGTATCATCATTCCACCTAGTACAAAGGTGCGAATATCTGCTCAAATCTCGAGCGCCTCTATGAACGACTTCTTCAATCAATAAGCGCATTTGCTGAAACTTAACTGTTTCATGTTAAAATGTTTCTTCTGAAATATTTTAACATGTCGATGATTTAATATTATTCGTAATGGAATGGAATGGAATAATTATTAATAAATAAATTATTTACAAAGATGGCATGCGAGTTGTATACGCAACAATAAGTTCGCTAACTCAATTAAGAAGACCAGACTAGACGAGGTGTATATTATATATATATATATATATATATATATATATATATATATATATATATATATATATTTGTATATATTGTATATTATATACGAGATGGGGGCCTTCAAGCGCGTCTTAGCCTAGTTTACGACTTTTTACGGGTTACGGTTAAAGTATTATCGAACACATTACCCGTTTTATTATAACACACATACATACATTATACGTGGTCTGTTCAAAAAGTACCCGGAATTTTCGTATATAAATATAAAATATTTATTTATTCGTCTACATTAATGTGGTCCCCTTCAAAGTAGTCCCCCCCAGATATAATACACTTATGCCAG